AATAGCCATTAAAAAACCTGGCAAATCAGCGTCTGACCATAACTCATACCGTCCGATTGCTATGCTTTCGTGCATTAGGAAATTGTTGGAGAAAATGATCCTTCGGAGACTCGATCACTGGGTCGAATCAAATAACTTGCTATCAAATACACAGTTTGGGTTCCGCAAGAGCAAAGGAACAAACGATTGTCTAGCGCTGCTTTCCACAGATATTCAACTGGCCTTTGCACACAAGGAGCAATTGGCTTCAGTATTCTTGGACATTAAGGGGGCTTTTGATTCAGTTTCCATTGAAATTCTGTCAGACAATCTGCACAGATGTGGACTTTCTGGAATTTTAAATAATTTCTTGTACAATTTGTTGTCAGAAAAGCAAATGAACTTTTCCCTTGGACAACTGACAACTTCCAGAATTAGCTACATGGGCCTGCCCCAAGGCTCATGTCTCAGCCCTCTTCTTTATAACTTTTATGTCAAAGATATCGACAACTGTTTGGCAGAACAATGCACGCTAAGACAACTTGCAGATGACGGTGTGGTTTCCGTAAGAGGTCCACATGCCGTGGACTTGCAAGGACCATTGCAAAATTCCTTAGATAACTTGTCTTCTTGGGCTATGAATCTAGGGATCGAATTCTCGCCGCAGAAAACTGAACTGGTAGTGTTTACTCGAAAGCGGTACCCAGCCCAAATGCAGCTTAATCTTTTGGGCAGAAACATTACCCAATCATTGTCTTTCAAGTACCTTGGGGTCTGGTTTGATTCAAAGTGCACTTGGAATGCCCATATTACGTATTTGAAGCAAAAATGTCAGCAGAGGATCAACTTTCTCCGTTCAATTTGCGGCACATGGTGGGGTTCTCATCCGGGAGACCTCATAACGCTTTATAAAACAACTATTCTCTCTGTTCTAGAGTACGGCTCTTTCTGCTTTCTCTCGGCAAGAAAATGTCACCTAATAAAATTGGAACGAATTCAATATCGTTGTCTGCGTATTGCTCTAGGCTGTATGCACTCAACGCATAACATGAGTCTCGAGGTTCTGGCAGGAGTAACACCCCTCCAGAACCGTTTCTGGGAGCTCTCTCTCAGAATACTAATCAAATGCGGAGTGACAAACACACTTATAATTGCTAATTTTGAAGAAATTCTTGGGCTGAACACACAATCTCGATTTATGAGAATCTACCACCACTACATATCATCAGATATGTGTCTTCCTTGTTATACTCCAGACCGTGTTCACTTCACCAATCGCAGTTCCTCAATTGAATATGATCTGACCATGAAACAAGCAACTCATGGGATTCCCGATCAACTTCGACCTATTATTATCCCACGTATTTTTACTGAAAAGTACCAACAAGTCAATTGCATGAAAAGATATTTTACAGACGGGTCCCGTCTCAATGGATCCACTGGCTTCGGTGTCTTCAATGAAAACTCTAGCGCCTTCCGCAAACTTCAGGAACCTTGTTCCGTTTTTGTTGCTGAGCTGGCAGCAATCAACTTCGCATTGGGGATGATTTCCAACATGCCCGCAGACCATTACTTCATCTTCTCGGATAGTCTCAGTTCCATTGAGGCTATTCGGTCGATGAAACCAAGTAGGCACTCATCTTATTTCCTTTCAAAGGTAAGGGAGCAGATGTGTGTGCTGGTCGAAAGATCATATATGATTACCTTTGTATGGGTCCCCTCACATTGCTCAATCCCAGGCAATGAGAAGGCGGACTCTCTCGCAAAGGTGGGCGCGCAGGAAGGCGAATTGTATGACAGGCAAATTTCACACGATGAATTTTACCATTTAGTGCGTCAGAGTACCTTTTCGAGTTGGCAAACCGATTGGGACACTGGAAATCTTGGACGGTGGTTACATTCAATTATTCCTAATGTTTCTTCGAGAGCGTGGTTTAAAGGCTTGGGCTTAAGTCGTGACTTCATTCGCGTGATGAGTAGACTTATGTCCAACCACTACTCGCTAGATGCTCATCTCAATAGAATAAACCTCGTGGACAGCAACATCTGTCGGTGTGGAAACGGTTACGATGACATCGAACACGCAGTTTGGCAATGTACGGATAATGACGCCGCCAGAGAGCGACTTTTGAATACCCTCGAGGCCCAAGGAAGACAACCCTATGTTCCTATCAGAGACGTGTTGGCAACCCGTGATCTCTGCTATATGCAGTCCGTTTATGTTTTTCTTCAAATGTCTAGTATAAGAATTTAATTCCTTTTGTATTTTGTCTCTCTTTATTAGTTTTTGTTTGTCTTGTCCCCCCGTCTCGATGAGTCTCATCGTCGCCCACTGGTCACCCACCATAGCCGGTCGAACTCCGGACGAAGCTAGAACAGCACTACCGTTCATACTGGCGACAACGCTCTGATGAGACAACGAAACCCTACCCCAAGCTCCTCCCCTGATCCTATCCTTCGAAAATGTACCCTTCTAACCTCGAGTAAGCCGCGAGTAATCGGCCCAACTCCTACTAGACATAGAATTAAGGAAATTTTGTTACACACAGTGAACAATGAATTATCGGCTCCGTAAAGCTAACGCGATTGAGCCTTCCAAATAAACGAACTAGATAAAAAAAAAAAAAGGTGAATTGTAGGTCAATTTTTGGGAAAACTATGAAGAAATTCTGAAAAAAAAAATTAATGGAATTTGACCAGAAATTTCAAGAGAATTCCGAAGGGGATTTGAAGTGAATTGAATGTTTCCGTTGTGGTTTAAAACTCGCGACAATTCATGTTAGCATAATTGATCACCGTTCATCTTACGCATAAGATAATGTATTTAAATTTAACGTAATGGTTAAGAATTGACAGAATTTTCCCTACATAACTATATAGGGTTGATCAATGTTGATCTATTTTGCTGTGATCAATGTGCAGTAAATTCGACATCGACTACAATAGGAACTGATACTATTTCGTCACACATTTTTTGTTGATTTGTATCTCAGTATAATACACAAAAACGTCAGGCATGTTGTGGGATAAAAAAAATAGTCAAAAAAACGTTGATTTTTTTCCAGTAGATCCATCGTTGATTTTAAATTATGTCTCTGAAGCAGAGAAGTGAGTGAAGGTTGCATTTTATAATAAAGCAAGAGGCAGTTGTTTTCCCTATCAGAAGACGGTACTTTCAATATTGAACAAAATGTTGGTTCATATGTCAGCAAAGTAGGGGAGGAAGGGGTATAACGATCGATTTTGTGTACATAATTTCCGTCGTTCATACTAGTTACCGTCTCTCCTTCGACATCGCTGGTTGTCAAGGTGATCGATCCCCTGCGTTTACTCAACAGATGGTGCTAATGTTTTAGCGACGATGTTTTACAGTGAGAAATATTCAATGGATTATGTCTGTTTGTCTGTGGAATTAGTCTCCTTTGGAATTATCCGTAGTTCCTCGCAGCTCTTCTCAGACCCTCGCCCTATCTCTGACCCCAGGGCCGGAATGACTTTGATGCCAGGATGCGATAGATGCTTGGTGAGAGTAGGAAGTTGACGCGACTGGATCAGAGAGAACGAGGGCTCCCATGATGCCTTGTTGCGAGCGTTCCGGGGTCATGCCATCTGTCAGTTGTTGTCTTATCGAAGACCTGGACGCTGAAACTTGTTTTTTTGTTTATTTTTTAATTTTTAATCTACCACATGTTTATTATTGGTCTCTTCATTTCTTTTGTTACTCTACGTGATTATCAATTCATTCAATTTAACTAATTACAATTGAATGCTTACTATCAATATTATTCTTCTTCTTATTCTTTTTCTTCTTCTTCTTCTTCTTCTTTCACATAATCGCTGCCCGAACGCCTAGTATAAAATTCCACCCATTCATAAGTTACTTGATAATGAATTTCCAAACACCCCATCCAAGCAGACCCAACTTTCACCGGTCAGATTTATTTTTTGAAACCACTCAGCAAAAAATAAACTAAAGAGCAAAGGAAAAATTCCTCACCACCTGGTTCATTCTTTTCATCAATAAAGAGACTGAGAGTGGAATCTCCACAAATTGGATGGCTGGTTGGCAAAGCCAACTGGAGGTGTTATGTGTGTATGTATGTATGTACGTATGTATGACCGAACCGACTGGTCAACCGACAGTTGCCTGCTTCCGGGGGCGGCATGGTCGAATCTGGTCTCAGGTGCAAAAAACTTTAGAATACTTCTATCAAACCCCTCCCCTCCCATCCCACCCACCTCAGCATCTGACTTTTACCCCATCAAACAACTATCTCGGAAGATAGTTGCGAAAAGTTGGTGCCTTTTTGACGTTACAACTTTTGCGGGACTTAATTTTTGCTGCAGGCATGGTTGTTCTTTTTTCTTTATCTAGCTTATTTTTTGCCCATTCGAGCATTCGCAGCTTCGGCACTAGGCAGGTGGGAAAAGAATTTCGTTCCCGTGGCCAAGTAAGGGAACTGACTTTCCGAGGGGGGTTTTTTGGGGTTTTGTTTCAAAACATTGCCGCTTTAAGCGAACGGTTCTCTGGTTAATTTGATTTGAGAACCGCGGGAGGGGGGCTTCCGGAGGGTATATCGTGGGAAAAGTTGTTGCGATAAGAGAGAGAGAGAGAGAGAGAAAGAGCGAAAAGTGAACTGAAAAGAACCTAGCGGGGGGATGTTGCGTATCAGTTTCCCAGCTGGGATGATCCCCTGGAGGTGTAAACTTCAATGAGTGTTTGGGAAAAAGTTTCTTCGCTCTATGCTTCGAGGTGAATTACTGGCTAAATGGGTGTTCTAATTTTCGGATCAGCCAAGCGAGGGTTTAATCGGCTAAGTTTTCAGCTGTGGATAATTGAAGGGAGGGAAACATTGTGAGCCCGTCAGAGTCATTAAAACTGGGAAGGAACTTTAGGGAACTGAAATCGAATCAACGATAAACCAATCTTCTTGAACAAACGTAATTCCTATCGGATATTTCGTTATCTGCAGAAACTTGCCTGATGTAACTAAATACGTTTTCGTTTTCTCTCATTCCAGGGTCTCGCCTTCATGATTCTGCCCTTCCTGCCGGCATCGAATCTGTTCTTCCCGGTGGGCTTCGTTATTGCCGAGCGCGTTCTCTACATGCCCTCGATGGGATTCTGCATCCTGGTGGCCTACGGATTCCAGCTCCTATCGGAACGATGGAATCGAAAAATGACCTGGTGCTGCCTGGGATTTCTGCTGCTAAGCCACTCAGTCAAAACCTACAACCGCAATGCCGACTGGGAGTCGGAGTATACGATCTTCATGTCCGGACTGAAGGTAAACCAGCGAAATGCGAAGCTGTTCAACAACGTCGGACATGCTCTGGAGAGTGAAGGAAAATTCGAAGAAGCCCTGCAGTTCTTCCATAAAGCCGTAAGCGTTCAGGAGGATGACGTTGGGGCACACATAAACGTCGGACGGACGTACAATCACCTTAAAATGTTCAAGGAAGCTGAGCAGGCCTATCTGAAAGCGAAGTCTCTGCTTCCGAAGGCAAAACCGGGAGAATCGTACCAGGCGCGGATAGCGCCGAACCATCTGAACGTGTTCCTCAATTTGGCGAATCTGATCTCGAAGAATGCGACCCGGTTGGAGGAAGCGGATTTGCTGTACCGGCAGGCGATCAGTATGCGCTCGGATTACACCCAAGCGTACATCAATCGGGGTGATATCCTTATTAAGCTGAATCGGACGAAGGAAGCGCAGGAGGTGTACGAGCGGGCCCTGCTCTACGATAGCACCAATCCGGATATTTACTACAATGTGAGTGTTGCATGACTGTCAATTTTTTGTCATATCAAATTCGTGTTAATAGGCACATTATGTTAAGGAAAATGCTTCTCCAGAAGAACGTTCAATCTGATGGAGACGCTCGGTTGTGCACTCATGCTCCGTAGAGCTAAGGATGCTCTATTCGATTCCAAGCAATTACACTGTGTGTCATGTTTTTTACACGGTAAAAATTTGTCGGGCTTCTGGATGGCGATACCTCTCACTTGTCTCCAATCATCCGGAACAACGTTGAGCTCCAGGAATCGATTGAACAACTTTAACAATCGCCTCTTTGTGATGTCTGGGAGGTTCTTGAGCAAATTGAACTTGATTCGATCCATTCCCGGAGCCTAGTTATTGCATGAAAGAAGAGCAATTGACAATTCTACCATCGAAAACGGGGAGTCCATGTCATCGTTTTCCAGCGGCGGATCGCGAGTGTTGCATCGAACCAGAACCGAATCGGGCAAACCTTACGTGCGAAGTCGAAAATCCACTTGCTAGAGTACTCCTTGTAAATGCCAATTGGCCTGACTGATTGAATCATTAGATCGAATACCAAGCAACAAATATATCAAGTTGATACAGAATTCATCTACACTAAATACAAACATAATCGATTGCTTGGTAGAATCAGCCATCCCAACAATGAACTGCAAATTCCCTAAAAACGCATTTTCTCTTCTAAAAGGCAGTTCCTCTCCTCAGGAGTGAAACGAGTTTACATCAATCGAAAGACGTGTCAAAATGTCATCCTCCCACGATGGCATGCTTGGGACCAAGGAACGTGCATATTCTCAATTCCCATTCACTGGTACAGCGCGAGGCGGCCCGTTGCTCTTTTCTATCACCGAACCATCGCCTGGTTCAACCTTAAAGGACCGAGAAGTTCATTAACTGTCTGGGTCCAGTGAGTGGCTGTTGGTGGCATAAGTTGACCCTTGGAAAAAGGGCGACCGGGCACAATAGATGAAAGTGAAAAAAAAAACGATGAGACAATACCACGAAGGTCTGGGATGGCCTTGGCCCACGCCCTCTTGTAGTGTCCTACTAACTGGGGAACGATAAATAACCTCGCCTCGGACGGTCAGCATCATCATCATCATTGTTGTCGTCGTCGTCGTCGTCGTCGGCGGCGGCGTCGTGTCCACCCATCTCAACGACAACGACCGGATGCTGGTTGTCGTTGACATTCTTTGAGATTTTTTTCAGCATTATACTCCAGTCAAAAAAATATAACAAGAGCACACAGCGAAAACAACGCCCGAGCGCGCTTCATTTTATGCAAATTTAAACAAATACAACAGCGATTATTGTCTTTTCCAGCGAACGATGCCGTCTGGTGGTCCTGCTGATGGGAGTAAATTGGTTTTTTCTCTCTTTGCAAAAGTTCTATTTTTTTGGTTTGTCGTTACATAATCTACCGAACGAAGGGAACGAGGGGGAAGCTCATTTTTCACTTTCGATCATTTTCTCACGATTTAGTATTCATCACGTCGTGTTTTTCCGCCCATTCACTTTCCATTTCGGTTGAGAAAAGGAAACTAACAAGATTTTCTTTTGTCACAGCGGGATTTCGCATTCGAGGCGAACTTCTTTGAAATTTTGGTCACTATGGACGATTTGACCCACTGTGTCAGCAGGCACAGGATTCCGAGAAAACGGTTCTATTTTCGGTATCAAAATCACGTACCCGCATCATTTCTAATCGCTCCATGGGCCGTTGCTTAGTTAACTGATGCTTTTCTTTTTTGCGTTCTGTTTCTTTACTCCACAGCTGGGGGTGGTTTTTCTGGAACAAGGCAAAGCTTCCCAAGCGCTGGCCTACCTCGACAAAGCGCTGGAGTTTGATCCGGAGCACGAGCAGGCCCTGCTCAATTCGGCCATACTACTGCAGGAGCTCGGGCGACCGGAGCTTAGGAAAATTGCCCGCGAGCGGTTGCTCAAGCTGTTGGCCAAAGATGGTAAATTGCTTCTAAAGACTTTGGAGGCGAGATAAATTCTAACCTGATTTTCAAACAATTACAGAATCTAACGAGCGGGTCCACTTCAACCTGGGAATGCTGGCGATGGACGATCGCAATACGGACGAAGCGGAGAACTGGTTCCGGCGGGCGGTCCATCTCAAGCAGGACTTTAGAAGTGCGCTGTTCAATTTGGCCCTGCTACTGGCCGACGACCATCGGCCACTGGAGGCGGCACCATTCCTCAACCAGCTCGTCAAGTACCATCCGGATCACATCAAGGGCTTGATCCTGCTGGGCGATATCTACATCAACAACATTAAGGATCTGGATGCGGCGGAAAATGTGAGTAAATTATCGATTATCTACTCCTGTACGCAAGGCCGATGTATTCAGAAGATTGCGGTTTAAAAACAAAGGATCAAGGGGACCAGAGTAACGTTCAGTGATTTTCATCGTATATAAATTGAACGCTCGCATGAAGTTTTGTTATCAATATATTTCAAACACAGCACATATAACTTGCAAGGCCACTAAGCTTACTCGAATTCGAACAATTCTTTCTTTTCCTTATAATTAGATACCTGCCATATTCGCCGTGAACTTCTTAGTTGCCACACATTGCATATACTTAGGCGCAGTGTTTGGAAAAGCTCAAAAACTCAAAACTGATGTGTGAGTTTATTCGCCCATGAGTTTTGCTTTGCAAAATTCTATAGCGCAAAAATTACGGATGAGTTTTCAAGTTCAAAAATCCATTGCTTTTTTATAACAATGGTAATAACATTTTGCCCGAATTTGCTGGATGTCCTTGACTAACCCGCTGTTTCGTCGAAGTCGTTGCTAAGAAAATTTCCCAGTATTTTTCGATTGGTCGAAATTCCGGGCCATTCGGAGGATTCATTAGTTTGGGGACAAAACCGATCTTGTTGGCAGCATACCACTCCAGAACCACCTTGAAGTGGTGGCAGCTGGCCAAATCCGGCCAAAAGATGACCTTGCCCCTATGCTTGCGGATGAACGGTAATACACGCTTTTTCATGCATTCTTCGATGTAAACTTGGGATGTCATCGTCGAGAATCCCAATCGATGTACTGGATTTAAGTAGTACAACCAACCGGTGGAAACTAACGATTTTAAATTGGCTCACTACTTGACAAGTCTATTTGTCCCAAGCAAATCGATTAACGTACCCCTTTCTAGTCAAAAATCTAGTACTTGATTCGCTATGAAAGTTTGACAGATAAAATGAAGGGTTAGTGGATTTTCTTATGTTTCGAGGGGTGAATCGATTAGCTTGGGACCGAAGATAGTACCAGAGCTGAGCAAAAAAGTTGAGCACGTTTCTTTGGGACCTACTAGTCTTAGAGTTGCCTCTATGGTACAACCATAGAGGTAACTCTAAGACCAGAAGGTCCCGAAATAACGTGCTCAACTTTTTGGCTCAGCTCTGGTATCTCTTCGGTCCCAAGCTAATCGATTCACTCCTCGAAACATAGGTAAAACCAATAACCCCTCATTTTATCTGTCAAACTTTCATAGCGAATCAAAACAAACATTGCGTAGTACTAGAATTTCGACTAGAATAGGGTACGTTGATCGTTTGCTTTGGACCAATAGGCTAGTCAAGTGGTGAGCCAATTTAAAATAGTTAGTTTCGTATTGATTGTTGGTACAACTGTCAGACGATGATGTTACTCAAAATGCAAAACGATGATGTTACGCTCAAAGTAGCAAATCCAGCGATAGTGAGTAATGGGACTGGTATGCGAGTACTTTTGCGCTCGCACATGAGTCTCATCTGATTAAATTCCACCTATCCTAGGGAAAGACTATTGTTATGAAAGTATTCATGTTGCCAACGATAACATTATGATGCACTGAAACTATTTTGACCGTAAGTACTGGATATTATGACTAAATGTAGCTGGAAAACAGCAAATTATACAAATATCTCTAATCGTCATTTTCTCAATATGACGATTTTACAAATGGGACTAAATAATATGCGAGTATCGGCAGTAAACCACTTCGAAAAGATCTGAATCACTTAAGAACAGTTTGAAATCACTTCGCAAAGTACTGCATAACTTCAGAAAAGATCGGAACCACTTTGTAAGTACCAAATCACATTGGAAAGTACTGAGTCGCTTTAACCCAGTTTGAAATCACCCACTCAGCACTTTCAATTTCTTCAGAAAAGCTCGGAATCACTTCGGATAGCATTTGATCACTTCAGAACATTTCGGATTCACTTTGGCAACTACTGAATAATTCAAGTTTGTTTGTATAACTTCCGCAATGTCTGAATCACTTAATAAGCGGTTGAAAAAAAGTGAACCACCGGTTAAAATTAATAGTTGTTAAAATGACAATATGGCAACACTTTAAACTAAATAAGATTGTAGCATTTGATTGAACTTAAAGAAAGAAGTGTTAGGAGTGAGCATACTCACATATTTGATCGTTTTGAACTACTTTTTAGAATATACCAACATTCTATATCAAAGCGTTTTGGAGTTATGAATCATTTAAAAAAAAACTGTGTTTTACCACTTATAACCCGTGCTGCACTATTTCATCAATGTCACGTGACAACTGACTATAGTCGCTATATTAATAGATAATATATTCATATTATCAACCATTCCATAGCAAAACGACATAGTGGTTCTCAGAAGTTTATAACAATTGGTAGTTTTGTTCCTTATCGAAAAATATTAGACCCGTTTTTTGTTTTTTTTTTTTCTCATTAGGGTAACCATTTCCATGTTAGGGTGGTCCAAAAAATCGATTTTTTCTTATTTTTTCCAAATTGACATTTTTCTTAAATCATTACTTTTGAACCACTGGGTCGATTTGAATGCTCAAAATATCAAATGAAAGGTTATTAAAAATACTTTTAGGACAATATAAAAAAAAAAGTTTGAGAAATTGGAGTTTTGTATAGAAGAACTTTGATTGTATTGTTTTTTTATGGTTTGTCCTTGTCTGTTCTTGTCGTGTCCTGGCGTGACACGTTTTTATATTTTTCTTTGGAAATTTAGGCTTTTCTACACAACATATAAAAAAATCAGCAATGTATTTTTCTTCGATTTTGAGTTATGATTTTTAGAAATTATCATGTATATTGAAATTTTGCTCATCACTCCAATACGCCTAGATTACCCTGCGTCTCCATTGATACATATCGAATGTAACATGGTTACATTAAATACTTATTTCAATTTCTAATCCTAGACTAGCTGATTTTGACGCACTGAATGTGAAATTGGCAGAATCCTGATGAATGCGGGCGTCTTAGTAGAATACCTGTATAAAGAGAGAGAGAGAGAAAGATTAGTAATTTCCATTTAATTCCACTACCTTATTTGCTTGTCCTTGACAGATACGCGTATTTTGTCTACAATGTGCAGACTTCTTCAGTGTCTTATACTAATACTCAACTGCATTAGTACAAGATACTGAAGAAGTTTGCACATTTTAGACGCAATACGCGTATCTATCAAGGATAACCCAACAAACAATTTGTGCTGATTAAGATCTGAATAAGCTATTTTTTAGCTGAAGAAGCATATTTTTGCCTCTTATTCCGCTTCCAATGTATGTTGGGAAGCAAATAAGGTAGTGGAATTAAATGGAAATTGGCAGGTTTTACGTGTCAAATACATACAATCCTACCTCTTCTTGTTTCTGACAAGTACAAACTATCATAATAGCATCCAATGATTCCATAATTCCGAAAAACATTTTTTTATAGTGAAGTGAGTGGAAGTAACCCTGCTTATGATACAGTTTCTGTTTTGTCGCTCGTCGTTTGATGACGATATTGCAATGGTCGTCATAGTCGCCCAAATGTATAATATGAATAATTTTCATAATTTCCAATCAGAATAAAAATAAATAGGGGAAATGGCTTTAATGTTGGCGTACGGATCTAAGATTGGGCCCATCGCTAAATTTTTTATCAATTTTATCTATATGAACGCGTCATTGGGACGGTCCTTATGGATATTTTTTGTCGCTATTGAAAATTTAGTCGATTGCTGATTTTATGTATGGACCCAAATTAGGGGCACTTAGGCCGACATTACATCCATTTCCCATATGTAGTTTTAAGATAATGCGCAGAGCTGGCATACGCCGCAGCGCAGACCGAGAGAAACAAATCCTCACACAGCACAGTGAGCTTGTTCCGTTTTTTTTTCTCTTCTCTTTCACTACATACGCTCCCATGAGATTTACTCGCTCAAAGAATTTCTGCAGCTTACACTTTGTGAAGGAGTTGGAGTGTACCACACTACACTCTGCCCCACTCATTGTGTAGATGGATCGTACACTGTACGTTAAGGTAGCCATTGTTCAACAGCTCATTGGCCAGCGTTAACGCTGTTTGATTAGTCAGACGTGCATAGCGGCCTAAATCAATTGAATCACGAATATCACTTATAAGGGATCATGCATACATTTATATTACGCTCTAAGGGGAGGGTGGGTGGAGCCATTTGTGATAAGCAATGCATAAGGGAAACAACGTGGCAAATGGGAGAGGGTGTTAATTTAGGTCGTTTAATTTAATCGTTTCTGAGGAATCGTCAAAAATGTACTACGTAAAAAGCGATTTGTAAACCACGCAAAAAATCCGCGTTTAAAGCTACGTGAAAACATGTTCCAGTGTAAAAAAAACCATCATAAAACAAAACGCATGAACATGAAGATCAAAAACTCCATGAGTATATGATCCGAAAAAAAACCAAGAAGTCTTTTATTTTTTTATAGGAAAATTCTCTGTTAAACGAATAACATTCATAGCCAAACAATATCAATTCCAACTGTCTGTGATTTGAAGAAATCCAAAGGTGAGAAGTGGACTTTGCCAGGACATAGAAGCTGTGCAAAATTTCGGTATGGCTATAACCAATTCGTAACGTCTAAGTTTTCACCGTACGTATCTGATGCAATCGATGATAGTTAAAATCATAATAAAACAATTCGTGTGTGTTCTTAAAGCTAACCAAAAAATCATACGTGGTAATGCTCTACGGCAGAGAAGCTATGCCATTAGCGCGAAGAATTTTTAGTCCACTGACATTAGCGCATAACAGGACAGTTTTTCGATTCAATCATTCATCACATTCAGCTCCCGTCAAAATTTTCGTAATGCAAGGTTGAAATTGTATTAGTGACGAAATGCTACAAGGGTTCACATATGTCACCATCGCTTTTCAACAAGTATAGTCTTGATTGCCGTTAAAATCAGACAAAACAGATTTTTGACAAGAGTTAGAAAATCCATCCCATACATCAATAATGAACAGAATATTCTCATAAAATATAACAGCTTACAGTTGAAATGAAAAATTAAAAAAATCTTGATCAGTGTGTTTCAAACAACGGTTAGGGTTTTTAATTCACGTCAATGTGGCAGAATATGCCTTAATGAAATATTGATACTTTTCTATGTCTAGCTTATAATCAATAGGTGAAATTACTTACGATAGCTTCCTCTTTTTGATCCAGCGTTAGGACGGGGGATCAAATTCATTCAATCGCAAATCCATATACAGCGCACCGTAGAACGCAGGGTTATCAAACCACATTGGTTGTCGCTTCAGTAGTGCTCCCAGCAATTGTTTTGCAAGGGTGTCTTCAATGTCTTCAAGCTCTAAGCAACACTCTTTCCAGTATAGGAAAAATGTTCCACAAGTCAACGCTTCTTCCTGAATCCTTTTTGTCAAAATGATAAGTGGCTTTGCAGCAGTAACAAACTGTTGAACTCGTTTCCAATAATTGGTGTTATATTGCTTTTTTAGATCTTGTGCCAACAAATCATTAATACATTCTTGTTGTTGATAGAGGCAATCCACCATCAAATATGAAGAGCCCCACCGGGTTTCTCCATCGAGGAATGGTAACGTTTTCGTCTTATCCAGCTTGAATGAGTTTACGTATGGTTGTGCTCTCAAAGTTTTCACAAGTTGTCTTGTCTTTTTAAGACATTTGGACAACGATTCCCTCTTCAATACGTCATGTACCGATAGTTGTACTGTATGTGCTGCACATCTGATTCCTATGAGTTTCGCTCGTTCAATAATAGGCAATTCGTCGTCATTCGGTTCTTGCAGTTCAAAATCATCTTCCCAAAGTAATTCAGATTTCGATAAATCAGCCTCAGCATTTTCTCTACATTAAATAAACATACAAATATTCATTAAAGTTATTGAATTTTTGTTTTGTTTTTAATACCAAAATAATTAAGTTACTTACTGGTCAGAGAGATCCGGCTCAACTTCAATCGCATCGTCCGTATCGATATCGGATTTGGTTTCATCACTTTCATTTTCTTCGATACTATAAATTTCACTAGCTTCTTGGCGGTTCCGAGTAAGCGTAGCATATTTTTGCCGTTGTCCGTGGTGACGCTGTATATTTGTGGAATTTCGAGGACGAATACGGCCAGTGTTTTCAAGATCTCCCCCATAATATTTTCAGCCGTATTTCTTTCCACTGTTTCACACATATCGAGTGTACGAACGACAATCTTTCCGTTTTTGATTTCGATTGGGTGAAGGATGCTATATGTACGATGTTATGTATCCATTGCGATCGATCGGGATGGTAATTTGAGTCTTTTTTTTTTAAATCACATCATCCGGTAATGAATCGACAGAAGCACTTCCACTGGTGTCCAAACCAAGTTCCTTCGCTTTCTCTGAATGCTTCAAGATGATGTGCCTCAGATTTAAATTTGATTCGCATTTGAAAGTTTTGTCGCCATCACCGCACAACACACAATAAACAGAACTTTTTCCATTTCATCTTCGAAAATCCACTTCTTTTTAAAAAAAAAACTCAACACATCAATATCCAGCGATCTTTTCTCCGTCATTTTTACTTTCAATATTGTTAGCAATGCACACAGCGCAGCTATTTATGCTATGGATTCTCACGCCAAGTGTCTCTTTGAGCAGCTCAATGTGTTGTTGACGTTTTCACTCACTGTGAAGTTTTCTCTTGGTGCTGTCTTTCGCACTCACTTTGTTTTTGCTCCTACTCTACGCGCAGGTCTCCTGTAAAAATGTATTGCCAAAATGCTGATTTTGGCAAGGGGTAAAGTAAGCACACTAAGCACAGAGTGTGAGTAAATGACAGCCCTGAATGTGCAGAGCAAGTGTTGATTTTGATTAAGACTGATTTTGTTTAATGCTACCAGGAATCCAATTGTTTACAATCACTAAAATGTTATTCTCGGCATTAGAAACCAAGAAACCCCGTCGATCAATTTGCACCCGTTCAGCGGTTCTTAAGCTTGTTATTAAGATTGTAATCACCTTCCAATAATAACAATTCTCTTCTCTTTTCCCTCCCCCCACAATAGTGCTACAAACGCATCCTCCAGCTGGACCCGATCAACATCCAAGGCCTGCACAATCTGTGCGTGGTGTACGTCGAGCGTGGCAAACTAGCCCAAGCCCAAGCCTGCCTATCGCATGCCCACCAGCTGGCACCGGGCGAGGACTACATTCTGCGCCATCTGCAAATCGTACAGACACGAATCAACCGGCTCCGGGGGACACCCGGTCCCAGCCGGGAGAAGGAAATTGCCTTTGCCGACTATGACCCCCGGGAGTTTGGCGGTAGTCCATCGTCGTCATCGTCGTCATTGTCAAGCGGCGTTGACTTCCAGCAGCTAATTAACAGCAACAGTGTAAATAGTAACGTTAATGATGCGGGGGTGGCCGACGAGGCCGAGAGTACTAGCAGCAGCAGTAGTAGTAGTGGGGACACCAGCAGCAGCAGTAGTAGTAATAATGATAACCATAATAATCTGAAAACATCATTACCTCATGCGAAGGGCGCGAACGATGACGCCACAGCAGCAACAGCAGCAGCATCAGATAGCAGTAGCAAAGCCAACGACGGCCCTAGCAGCATAGACAACAGTGATCCTATTTTTATCGAATCGGAAGACCCAATGTCGGCGACGGCATCGGCAGTGCCAGCTCGCAGCAGCAACAGCGAGGACCCACTGGTGGCCAACGAAAGTCACCAGCAGGAACGGCAAAGTGCGCCCAGATTAGGCCACAGCAGCAGTAGTAGCAGTAGCGATAGTGGTAACAGTAGAAGTAGTCCCCATTCCCATCAAAATCATAACCACCAACAGCAGCAGCAGCAACAGCGGAGAAGGAGAAGAAGTCCCTCACACCATCACCACGTGGATGATGGTAGCAGCAACAGCCCCCAGCAGCTAGTTGGGAAGGACTTGGATGATCCATCGTCCGGGATGTCATAGCATCAAATTCTTAATTACAAGTTAGACTGTTTCAAAATTAATTAGGAACTGAAAACTGTGGACTGAACAAAAACACTGGCTGCAGCTGCATGCAGGCAGCACTGATACAGTAATGATGATGGTTGGTTGCTTGATGTTAAACAGGACGAAATGAGCGAACGAGAGTTGTATGTGTGCGTGTGTCGGGGGATGGCGATAGGAGTTTGTACTTAGGGCTAGTTGAGGAAAGTTTTCCCATTATAGCTGGTGGTGGATGACCAGATGAGAAACAAATATTAGGCGGAGCGAAGCACCAAGCAGCACATAAAATGCACTGTGAAATGATTGGGAATGAGGAGGATTTTTTACATCTGTTGGATTTTTGATTTGCTGAAATGGAAGAGAAGTTTTAGACTTTTATTGTAGCCCAATCCACGAAAAATTCCAGTTTAATGGAGACGCATGGTGGTTCCTAACCAAAACAATGGCGGAGCAGATTATACACGAATCCCTCGAAGAGCGTGGTGGGTTCATTCAATATAACCTTCTTAGAAAGACGCTCATTCTTGCAAATGGTAATGGTTCTCGAAATCGACCTGTGAACTACAAAAATAACATTTACCTGAATTGCAAAATAGATGAAGGTTGAACAAAAGCAAACCATCCTATAAATGATAAGCTTCCCTTCTTTAAAACATGCACTGTTCACTTTTACACTATTTTACCAAATTATCTGAGCGATCAGCTCAAGTTTAATGGAAGGGGAAATCGTCATTTATTGGGTATTTTCTCTTCTATTAATCATGGGAATTCTTTTAAATACGGTGATTGAAATTTGCATTTAAGTCTTTGTGATTTTAAAATGTACACTTCGAACTTTGGAAAACTTGTGAGTTATAGAATTTGAAAAATTGATGGCACATCACAATCTAATCTTTTAACTAGATTTTTCCTTTTTTTATAGATGTTCTTTCGAAAAATTAAGATGAGAAATTAGAATTTCATATTTTCCAGCGAATTTACCTTCTTTTAAACGTGAACAGTGCTTAAATGAAAAATATCAATACAATTTACCGTAAACCGCCATTATTCTGCGCAGTTAGAAAAACGTAATTTCAACTATGTGTTGAAAAAGTTTTGAAGCTACTAGCGATAAACTATTTATACCGAAAAGCAGTGTTACTGAAATTGCATCTGTTGCATAACCTTGCTAAAAACATAAATTCTTCGATATATCTTGGCACCGAATTCCACGCATTTAAAAAGCGGGAGTCCTAATTCAGGGCAAAAAATTGCCTAATTCCGTGCACTTTTTAAATCTCTTTGTGTGTTTTTACCAGGGTTGAAAAAATCACCAGCATTCACTATGAAATGAATGTTTCATCCATAGTGAACTTTGATGAATTTCAGTGATTTTTTTTTTCAGCTCTGGTTTTTACTATCGGAATCCAGTGGCACATCTAAAGGGATATAGGATAACGGGAGGGAAGGTTTAGGGTAACTGGATGCGAGACTATAGGGCAACGATTTATTTTTTATTTATGCTTTTTTTTTGTCATGACAAAATTATGTTGAAAGAACATTTCATTCATTATAGGGCGCAGCACTGCTTCGAAATGTGGGACCCATTTCCATTATAGATGTCAAAAACAATTAATACAAACAGCTTACAGCCAAAATTCTTGCATCAAATGCTTTGCTCACGAGTTAAATTACGAATACTGTACAATAAATTGTACACGGCTATCACAAGCAGTGTCTGTTTTTATCATTTACCATCACACGCAAGGAGTAGCGCTTCAACCCAGTGTAGATAAATTGCGTTTGTTTTGAAAATCCACACTGTTACGTAGGAGCGAAATGAACAAATGAGTTCATTATACATCAACGAGTACGCTCTTGTTGATATTCTCTAGTGCTTGATTATCCAACCCAAAATTGTCAAAATCAGCAAAATAATCAAATTCATTTTGGGCAAAAGATTTTGAATATTGTCGACTCCAGAGCCTAAAACCGGGATTGTATCATCACTTCAACTTGAGACAATAATTTGCCATCGGTTTGTGTGTAAAAACTAACACGACACGTCCTGCAGCGCTATATTTGAGTAAAATGAAAATAATCATTTTGCATTTGATCCTCAAAATCATCCCCACCAAGATGAAGACGAATATTAATATTGACAACAACGGAGGCGATAATGAACATCCAGCCACGAATGAAGATAAACAAATCAGTGCCAACATTTTAAAGGGGCGTAATTGCGTTTGTAAACAATGGCTTTAGCCGTCAATTTTTCGCGAATAAAATCTCACCCCTCCAAAATAACAATGCCAGCTGGTAGAAGAAAAATTGCTCTACCTGTTGGTGTCATTATTTTTCATGAGTGATGACTAAGCTGAAATGATGACTACGATACTCAGAGGTTGCCTTGATCAAGAGAATGTTGTTATGTCAAAATTCAGGTTCATGCAGGTAGTTGGTCTATCTGTTAAGGTTGTCTTCATTTTCAGCTATGTTGAGTATAGAAGGAATGATTTTTATCAGCACTGGTCACAAGATTGATTTAAGGACGTTCTATCGTGGTGCAATAGTATGCTCTTTAATTTCTGTTGAAAACAATTTTAAAAGAAGATCATCAACTACTAAAGATCACAGAAGGGAAGAAAGAACACCCCCTTGAGGACAGCCTTTTACAGCTGTTACTTTAACTTATGAATCTCCTACAATTGCTGATATTTCTCTTTTGGGAAAAAAAAATCTACAACTCAGTTTATTGTGCGTTTATTGAAATCACGATTTCTCATGGCGGTTATGTATGAAGGATGTATTGTCAAATGCTCCTTCAATATCAAGAAACGTTGCTAGTAGAATTTCCTCAGCCGCAAAGGATTTTTATATTGAAGTAACAAGAGCTGATTTCTATGACTGATAAGCGAATTGTGTTTTACATAAAGATTTATTGGCCCGTATTACCGATTTCACTTCACGGTGAAGTGACAGCTTATCACTCACGGTGAAGTGATTCCCATTTGATTTACACGGCAATCACTTCACCTTGAGTGACAAGTGGTCACTTCACTTCGTTTTCACCGTGAAGTGACACTCGTAATAAGGGCCATTAAGAAGTATTTCTGGTTTAACATATTCATCTATGAGTGTTTCCATTAATTTCAAAAATATTGATCACAGACTGATTGTCCCTATTTTTGTTGGGATGTAGGGTAGAGCGCTGCTTTGCCGTAATCTCCCATTTCCGTTCTTTTGAGCAGAAATCATCAATAATATCCATGATGTCACCGTACACAAATCAATAAAACGTTTGTTTCGATGCGTTAGCTTATAAGCTACAACGCAAAGTCTATACGAGTGCGTTGTATGAATATGTAAACTCATTGTTCTCAAAACAAAAGAAGCGCTCCTAGCAAATCAATTTTGTTCTGTCTTCATTCGTAGAACGACGAAAAATCTAGAAAAACTAGAAATGGCGTTTCAATGCGTTGGGACAGAATTGAAACTCGTAGAACTAATTTGAAATCAAGAAGCAATGTTAGATTTCCTCCAATATCTCAATAATTTGTAACTCTTTATCAAATCCAACGGTAGGTATACTATAGTAGAATCACTACATTTTTGAGTTCATATCCGTTCGAAAAAGAGAGGTTATGCGTGGGTTATGCTTAGTCGGAAATTAGATTAAAAACCTTAGATTAAAGGAAAAACTCTATCTGGACCAGGGGATTTGAAAGGACTAAAATAATCTATCGCCCATTAAATTCTAGACCTTGTAAATATTGTGTTAGCTAATTTTTCAGCCTCTTTATAGGACAATTCTCGCGTAACTTTTCAAAAAGACCAAGATCATTTTCCATCATTTTGAGAAAATAGAATATGAAGTTCATCAGCTTATTAATTTAACAGTTTAGAAACAATACATTTTGCAAAGCTATATTTACCTTAGTCAGTGAATAATAACGTTGGAGATTCAGTAGAAACGGTAAAATCGCCACTTTGAATTTCATGCTACGTTATAGAAAAAAAATTGCACAGGACGTTTTGACTAGTCAAGTTGTTCATCAGACATGTTACATAGGACGATTTTTCCCAATGACATAATCAATGAGTATCACATTGGACTGTCATTTATGATAGTCATAGGTAAAAAATTATCCAATTTACAGTTTGAAATGATGGGTACGTGATAGCTATTTCGGACAATTGGACTGCCAAACATGATTGGTGCTCATTTTCTAAAGGCGAGGCATGGAATACCAACCTAAGGTTATGTACTCTATTCTGAAATCTGTGATTGTTCCCTATCACAGATTTCAGAGTAGAGTACCTAACCTTAAATTTGTATTCCATGCCCCGCCTTTGAATGGACAGATGGGTGTTTTTGTATCATGTAAAATGATTGAAGAGCAATAGTTTGTATAGATTAGCTCGATTTGTTAACATTTGTTACTTAGGACCTTTTGAAAAGTGACGCGAGATTTATAGTCCAAATCATGAGTCATTTATTTCAGTAGATCTATCACGATCCACACATTCTGTGTTTATCATCAGTAGGAAGGGACCCTGGAAAATGAGTTTGCATTATCAGTTCCAGAGTTTCATTTGTGTTTTCAGTAAAATGTCCATCAGTCTTTTTGAGAGTTCCGTGACCATTAGAATGATCTTTCGAGAGAACTTTTTGTAGTCTTGGATTTTCTTATATTATATTACTATGATATTCACTCGAAGCCTCTTAGTAATGATAATTTTGCGCGCCTGCATAGTTTTCGAGCTATTTTCCTTAATTTTTCTAATCTGTCATTCTACCAGGAAACATCTCCATTAGACCACCGATGCGTTGCTTAAGGGGGTAGTCCACTCTGGAAATTTCAAAAAATCTTTTTTTTTTGGTTTAAAAAATACTTTGGAATGTCTACTTTGACATAGACTTGACCGGAAGTCCGCAAGTGACATCGTTCCAAAGTTATAGGCCGATTAGTGGACTCGTGTCCAGACGCTCCAAGCGCGCTCAGGTGAGCGCTCGAAGTACCCCCCCGTTACCGGCAAAACGGCGAGTCTTACTAGTTCCAACTGCTGCCGCGATTATCTCTTAACGATGTTTTCAAAATTGGCGGGCGCTGTATTTTAGAAACGGCTCATTCGATTTTAGAAACGGGGATTGAATTTTCGAGTTAAGTACATTTTTTCTAGTCTTGTACGTAGCCGTTTTTCAAAAGAATCAAAAATGGATTTTTGGTGCAAGCATTTATCTCCAATTTTAGGGTACAAAAACGGACTGTTTTTTTTCAAAACGTCGCCAAATTTTTATTTTTCAACCAAATCAAAAACGGCTACGTACAAGACTGAGTCATCTATCAGAGAATAACCACAAAAAAAATTCGTTGTTCCAGCTCCAGTGCAGTGGTGTGACCGCCAGACGTCCCGCCCCGCGACGACTCAGACGGGAGGTCTCCTGGGGAACCTGGTGCAGCGGCTACAAGAGACATCCAATAACGCCAAAAAAATCTCAATTAAAGAGGACATTTCAATTGACAAAACCATGCATTCCTTTTTTGAATTGATCGTTATTTACCCTCAAAAAAAATTCGTGAAAATGACCTATTTTTCATGCCGCCAGAGTGGACTACCCCCTTAAGCAACCTTCATGATAACGCAGCAACCAGGGGTTGCTATTCAAGCACGGGAAATAACAATCTGCCTTTCGGTGAACAGTGGGTTAGCAAAGTACGCAGCGCGATAGCAACCGACCCAAACGTTGCTATTTATGAAATGTCATTTTTATTTTTCATTTTAAAATTGTTAAAAATCACTTGCAATAACGTATTCTCGGCAGTCTAAGCACTAAGCTATGCTTCTATAGGCTTATTCATTTGCCGTACTTGGTTGTTTACATTCAGCTGCTGCCTGCTGCTTTATCCATTGCAATTGATAGAATTGTTCAAAAGTGTTTTAAAACACTTTTAAAACGCTCCAAACTTCTCAGGTGAGTGTGACTATTGCCGGCAGCCGCTTTTACTTAGGCAACCTTTCCATTTGATCTGCTTGTTAATCTGCTGTTATATTATCGGCAACTCGAAGCATCAGCATTTTGACGTGCGTGTTTTCCATTAAAAGAAAAAAAAAACTGGAAAAATGCGTTTGCTCAGCCATACAAACTTTATCCTTTGAAAACATTCAACATGAGAAAATACAGTGAAATTAGCGTAACATTTTTGTTGCCGGAAACAGTGAATGGGTGCCGAAGCCGAAATTTATCCTAAATTAGTTTGAATTTGGGACGGAAATGCAGTCCCAGGGACAGTGAAGTGGCCCTGCGGAACATCCGTAGCAGTGGTCAATTCGTAAAAAAGAATCTAGAGCTCCGCGATTTTTGAAATGAATTTGAATTTGAGACGAGGATGTGCACTAGGCTGATGCAAAATTTGAAATTTTCGCTCCACGGTGTTCAAACGGTTTCAAATCGGGTTCTGCTTAGCCTCCGAAACTGACTTGGCACAAACCATTTGAAGTTTATATGGAAGTTATTATGAGGAAAACCAAACTTTTTGTTCATTGTCTTCTAGCCATGTACATATTGTACTGTTAACAAATTCTAATGCTATTATTATGGAAATTTTTATGAGCTACATCTTTGCAGAAAATCGTTTTCAGCCAAACGTCAAATTAAACAGTTATTAATTGCTTAAGAGATTGATAATCTTATGGCAAGATTAAGCAACTTTATTGTTGGCAACACTGTATTCTGCAGTGACATAGTAGCCATGATATTTGTGCTCTATTCTTCGCACCAGAAACACCAATGTTGCCTGCTGAACAGTTGATTGAGCATAATCA